AAGTCCTCGATCACCGCCGAGTGATTCGAAGCTCATTTTCTGTGAAATCACTATTATTGTGATCACTATTCCACCAAATTAATATAAACAGTGTGCTGTAAAACGCTTTATTCTGTTTATTACTAAACTGGTGGCCCGTAACTCTCATAAATGACTGTGAATTCGTGTAAAGATTGATTTCTTACATGTTGGCATGTTGAAAAAATAACAGTTTATCAGCTGTGTTGAACGCTGCGTGCTGGTGCTGCGCGTTTGGAGCTTGGCTGTGCGTATTTACGCAGCGTGATGGAGCTGCGCACTTAGCTCTGCATGTTTACGCTGTGTTACGCTGGCAATGTTTTAGAGCTGGAATTGTGTCATGGAGTCTTTATAAAGCTGACATTGTACGCCTGTTATGTTAACTAAAAGCTGATGAGCTATGAGAAACGCTTTATTCTGTTTAAACTGTGTTCCAGACGCTGTTCTGGTCCGGTTCGGTTCTGGTTCCGACTCGGTTCTGGAAAAGTTCGAACGAGTTGTTTTAAATAGCTAGAAAGACGTTTTGTCACGGAGCGCCGTCTCCGTGCAGCTCAAGGAGTTGATTCGTTACAATTTTTAACAGAAAAAGTGCATTTTGACAGTTTAAAAGACGAAAAAGTTGACGAACTATTTCACGCTAATCTAACTTGCTAGTTGGAGAAAACGCTTCTTGATTGGTTGAATATTGCTGTGTGGAGCGCTCTGATTTGCTGAGGAGGGTGAATGCGTGCCTACGCATCTTCCTCTCAACCCTGCTCTGTCATTGGTGATTTCAGTCACGTGACCCGGAAATGAAATTCGTTTTCATAGGGAAATAAAATCTGCTTTTTAAAGCTGAAAAGCGCCTTTAAAGTGATTTTGATACGCTGGTTAAATGCTTCGAAGCATATTCGCTGAAATTTTGCCACGTTAGAGTTTAAAATCCGTCATAAAATGATGTTTTTAAACAACGCTAGCGATGCTAACTTTAAGCTAACAGCTAACGACTGGATGAATGACGTGTCACGTCACTCCCCCATGTCGGAAATGAGCTTTGCCGTGCTTAAAATCACTAAATAAAGCTGCAATATTGTCCCAAAAACTCATGTTCATGCTAAGAAGTCGTGCTTGTTGAAATTACGCCACGTTTATGCTTAAATTCGTTCAGAAATGTTGATTTTAACCGAGTTTAGCCGAAGCTAACTTTAAGCTAAGCGGCTAACAACAGGATGTCAACCGAACGTCACAGGAAGTCGTCATAGACTCCTGCTGAAAAAAGCTAAACACTACCCCCTCCTGGAGAAACTTAGATCGCAGTTTCACTTCAGTTTTAGGTAAAGAGTGAAATTAAACGTTCTTTTTATTTTTCTGTAAGGCATCTTTGAGTTAAAAAACTTCCTCAAAGCTGAATAAACACTGTTATCTTGCATTTTAAAAGTTAAAAAAGGTATTTATGCAAAGAGCATTTACCAAAAAGATTTTATTCACTGATAATTCCTTATAAAGGTACAAAATAAAATTAGAAACTTTTTAAAAAGATACAGTTACAAATATTCACAGAGTTGAATAGTTTACTCATTTTGCTTGAAGGATAATACACGTTTAATTACAAAATCACTAAATAAGAGTAAACTTATCAGGAAAAAGAGATTTTTCTGTTTAAGTTGCCACCTAAACAAATACATCTTCCTATTTAATTTTAAATAGAGGATGAGACAGGAGAACAGGAATAACAGTTTTTCTGAAGGAAGGACTGATTAATCCTGATACATCATCAACTGTTCTTTTTCTGTCCACCACTTAGTTCTATGAGTAACTGTTAAAATAGCAAATTTCTGGAACAGAACGGTTTAAAAAATGCTTTAAACTGATTTGCTTTGAGACTTTTAGAAAAATTGCAGGTTTATAAAAGATTCAGTGCTTTAGAGTAAAATACACTAAAAACAGCTTGGTAACTGATATCTGTTGAAAAATAAGCACAAAAAGTAACACTGCCAGAAGAGCATTTACTTAAATATTCATGAATTGGGGTAAAACCTGAGAAAGGTACCCACATTTGAATAAGTTGACTTATAACAGTACTTCTGTGTAAACCCAAAAAGCTAAAATAAGTGTGAAAACTCATTGACTCGAATACAAATATTTACCTGTAAAATATCTGAAGCTTGCAACTGTTTTCAAACAGATAAATTGCTACACAGTGAAAAACATGACAGGTGTGTTAGGAAAAGATTTTGATCCAAAAGGAATAAGGGACTGTTTAAAGAACGCGTTGAAGCTTCTGACAACGTCCTTATATCCATATGATAAACAGGCAGAGCGCATGAACCCAAAAGAGTTAGTGGACAATCTGAAGGAGGTTGCAGAAAGTGTGACCTCTACAGAAATTACAATGCCAAACTATGAAAAGCTGGCTAAAATTGCAATTTTGCTGAAAGAATCATTCTATACGGTTGTTGAGAAAGCTGATTACCTTGCAATAAGGTTAAACAGTGAAAAAGAGGTGGTTCAGAGAATTGAAGAACACTTCCTTCAATTTAAAAGTGAACACGAAATCCTCACAAAAAAACATTCTGAACAGATGTTTCAATTACAGCAAAATGCAAATGCAGAAAATGATTCGCTGAATAGCAAAATAGATGTGCTTAACAAAAAGCTGGAAGAACTCAGAATGGATAAACACATATTGCAACAGCTACAGATGCGTTTAGGAAGTGATTATCATACATCACAGGAACGCTTAAAAACATGTGAAGAAAAACTACGAGCGGCAACAAACAAGATTTCTGACGTGGGGCGAGTTGAAGACCGTGGACAGAGTCCAGGCCACCCACATACACCTCAGAAAGACGTTGTTACACTTCCTGCTCTTAATCCACCCTCACATAAAGTGGCAGGAACAGACCTGAACAGGTCTCCTCCACAAAACATGCAACAGAGTGCATGGAAACTTCCTCTTTCAATGGATGTTCTGTTAAAAATCTCAAAATGTGTACAATGTTTTGTACCTGGATCAAAAGGCTCATCTGGAACAAAAGCGTACCTCAGAGAACTGGAGTTCAGATTGAGATCTTATCCTAATGCTATGGTAGAGGATAAGATCAGTCTGATACGGCTCACTTCGGACAGAGAGGTGTTCACCTTCATCGAGCGTCTACCTGATGCAACGAGAAGGGATTACAAACTTCTGTGTGAAGCTCTGATTAAAGAGTACGACCCCTGCACAGGACCTGCTGGTTTCCCAGCCGCAGACAAGGTCACGCAGGGTAAAGATGAACATCCAAAGGTTTATTACAAAAGAATCTTCCAAGCTTATTTTGGTTACAGAAATGAAACCGGAATGGAGGAAGAAGAAAATTTTAAATTTGTTTTCAGCAAAAATCTCCACACTGACATACGCATGTCAGTACTAATTATGGCAAATTACAGAGAAAAATCCATCAGTGAGATTAAACAGTGCGCTGTGAACGTGTTTGAGGCACGTTGTCATGCCAAGACGCCCATAGAAGTGTTTCCTAGTGTAAAGGTTAAACCCCACTCCCTAGAAATGGAAGGAAGGCGTGCGACGCCACCTCCTCCTAAGAAGGCGAGAAAAGGCAGTATTTTCAAACTAACAAACCGCATAATGAAGGTGCACGCTGGAACAAAAAGGCTCCTCTTTCAGAGGATGAACGTGATTATCGTACATGGGACATGCGCAGGACGCAAGAATATGGGATCCAAGAGGACCCATATTATCAAGGGAAATCCGAAGAGGAACCCCCAAATGACGTACCTAGCCGCCTCCCACCTCGGACGAAACGTCCCGAGGCGAAAAAATCACAAAAGTTCCAGGAACAAGGCCCTAAACCTCTGAGCTCGGAAGAGACAGAGGAAATGCAAAGGTTTTTAGACACTTTGATACACGCTGAAATGGGAACCCAACCAGGAGCACAATGTAGTGATCTGATCGCTACTAACTCTGAAGGCGCAAATGACAACATTACAGATGTCGGTGAAACACACCAAGACATTGCTGTTACTGCCTCCAACAACCCCTCATCGGACGAAGGGGGGATAAACTCACACACAAACGATGACGAGTCATCGCAAACTGAAAACTCAAAACCTGACCTTCATGATTTTGAACTAGGCATCCCAGTTCTGGGAGGACTCCCAGATAACCTGGTACCGAGTCAAGAAGCTGGGCCAGTATGTTTCACGAAACCATCACAGGCCATCGCTCTTTTCTCAACCAATGATGTCGACCAAGGACCTCAAACCTATGGTGCCTTGCCCATAGACAGGTCCGACGACTCAGAAAAGGATTCGTTGGAGCTCCCCATGGAGCAAGAACCCTCATCAGTCTCATCACAGATTGAACAGGTGGTCGCTCAAGCCGACACTCTGACATCTGATGAAGAAAGAGACAAACTTCGCCAAGTTCTTTTAAAATATGAAAAGTCAATTTCAACTGACCCAGACATCATCCAACTTCAGAAGTTGGATGGTCCTGCAATTAACTCGATGATACTGTATCTGACTGACCCAGACAAATACACTCCATCGAAAGTCAAACTGGATTCCAATCCAGACCTAAAAGTCCTCTTTCAGCTGCGCAAACAGTTAAAACTACTCAAGGACAACCTAACTTTAGCTCATGGAGCGACGTCCTCACCCGTGTTCGCGGTCTCCCATGACCGAAGGGGGGTGACGCCAGTTAGGATAATGCTACCAGACGCGATAACATGATCAAATCTGACATTCAGAGTGAGTGGCGCACCGAAACGTTGTTTCCTAGTTGCTTAATCACTGCTTTTGTCGATGTTGAAACGTTGTTTTACTGGTTGCTTAGTTACTGTTCTTGTCGATGTTGAGACATCGTTTAATTGGTTTTTGGTATTGTTTTCGAACACCCCAGGCAAGAATGAATTTTGTTGTGTAGTTAAGTTAGAGACTAAGAAGCCTTTGACCATGCCAACATGCAGTTCATTCATTAAATTGCAATCCTTGCGGAGTCAATGTATATTATTGCTACTTTGAGTACCATAATCTACATTGATCTCACAACGCTTAAGCCGAACCTACTCGAACAATTCTATTCGGGGGG